CGAGCGACGCTCTGCTATTCAGATGTGCTCGTGGGATGGGAAATTTTGTATTAAATGAGAGAGATGTAGCTCTGTGCTGAAAATTTTACACACTTATATCTTTCACAGGCCCAAACTTACAGAATGAGCACCTGCAAAAGGCCTTAGTATTTCCAATGATTTCAGGTTGACCAAGCTCCTCTTGTGCAGAACGTGTGTAAGGAGACTAGCAATTAGTCTCCTCAAGCAAAGAAACGAGAAAGGGAAATCTGGCAGATACTGGCTACATCTCCTTACAGGAGATGTAGAAGAGCAGCTGTTACAGTAGGGATTGTAGGGATTTCTTGTGAAAGTCAGTAGCAGATGTCACCATCTGCTTCTGCCCTCTCTATGAAATAGAGGCAAAAGGGAGACTGAAAGCTTGTTAAAAAAAAGGTAACAACAAAAAACAAACTCAAAAGATACCCAAACAGGCTTGCAGTGAGTGAGGGAACCTCTTACGTGCTTCCCCTTGACAAACCTGTGATCCAAACGCAAAATAAATGCAATGAACACTCCCCATTCTCTTTAAATCGTGATTTCTTTTCATTCTAATCTTACTGCATGTACTTTGACAACCTTCAGCCTGCAATCTAACACCTAGCCATTTCCTCCCCGGCTGAAAGAGATCACAGAAATGAGCAGTTGTATCCTGTCCCTCTGGCTATACAGCAATGGTCTGATGACAACTGCTTTTCCAGGGTTGGTATCAGACATACAAAAATTCCCTACTGAATGATCTACACAATGATGTCATGTGTGGAGGCAAAGTATTTATTACTTAGGGGGAAAAAAAACCCAAAACACAACAAAACAAACAAAAAAACCCAAACAAAACTTCTGTTGCATTGTGTCAGGAAACATGCTGTGCATGTTTGTACATCTTGGCAGATAAAGATCAGATGAGGCAAGCAATGAAGTGGTTAACTAAATCGGAAAGTTATCTCAGACATCCAAAGGCACATCTCATAAACCTGAGAAAACTTCTTACACAGAACCGAGGAAAAAAAAAAAGGAAAGGCTTGTCTGGGAAGAAAGAAATGACACTGTCAACAAGTAGTTTGTTTTCTCACAGAGAAAAAAGTATTAGTGAGATCCAGAGCCCAGTGAAAGAACAGGAATCATTCCAGTGGTATAAAAAAGGCTTGGATCGAGCCCCAGCTTTCCTGAAAACTAGACTTGCTAATGGCCTCACTCTTCCACTGTCAAAACTGTCATCTCACTAAACGGAAATACCTTTCCAATATTGCTATAGGTTACACATTTTCCACACTGGTAATACCGGGAGCCACATTCAACCACCACCAGTAACTTACTGGTCACCACCTCACCTATTTGGTATCCCAAAACGTTGTCTTGCAAAAAAACCCCACACAAAACAAACAAAACAAAACACCAAACCAAAACAACAACAAAAAAAACCCACAGCATTCTGGGAAGGTCTTTTTAGATTTTCTTTTGTTTGTTTTTGGAAACAGAGGCCACTTTTTAGCTTACTACCACTGTAGAGAGCATTTTTCTTTTCCGCTAATGTCATATTTAGACAATAAATAAGCTTCAGGAATGGAAGATTGCATTCTCTTTTGGCATTGTGAAAAATCAGCAAACATCTGAGCTACACCTGGATAAGAAGTGATGAAAGTAACTCAAGAAACCACGTTTAGCAAGGTATACTGCTAATTCGGGGCTTTTCCCCAAAAGCAAGCAGATTATGCTTATCTTACATTACCAGACCATCACTGGAAGTATATGCCAAACCCTCAGCTGGCATAAATCAACATGACCCTATTCACTTCAGTGCAGCCGTGTTGATTTATGTGAGCTGAAAAGCATCTGCTGGTCAAAAAGTGACTATTTCATCTTACAAAACTATAAAAGTGACTAAGAAATGAAAGGTAGTTGGTATAATATAAAGAAAAAAATTAGGAGGGAAGTACCACAGAAAGATTAATCTTAATAAAATATACATCTGCTTTGAGCCTAACAAAGCCACTTGTTCTACTCCAGATGAGATTTTAGATAATATTCTCTGTTGTTACATACATACGTATCTCTTGAATACGGACCCAAGTATTTGTGCGATGTAATAATGCTCTACTATTCCCAAATCAAGATGTAAGGCTCAAATAGTGCTTTCAACTAACCTGGAATTTATCATTGGTGGGTTTTTTTGAAGTCACCGTGGCTGTCAGAACATGAAACATCCCACACAGCAAAGTTAAGTGTTCAGATTTGCAGTATAGTGTCACATCTTAAGAACTACTCCTCTTACAGTCCTTCTCTTACGCAGAAAAAGAGCAAGATACAAGTCAAAAAAAAAAAAAATCAAATAAGCTTCTCAAAGCCAGAACTTATCTCAAGCCTTGGACATTTCAAGAAATAGGAAGCCTCTCAAATTAGACTTTAGCACTCTTCACCTTTATGAACTGTGTGTAGCCTTCCCTGTTATTATACAGGCTACATGCCATTAGCTACCGGTGCTCCTTTCCGAATTAAAACCAGAAAGGCTAAGAAGAATTGGTATACATTCCTAAATTCCTTTCTCAGGGAAGCAGTTATTGAGATTAAACCAGTCTCATTTTCACTAGGCTCATGTCCCAGCAGTACAATATCTGATCTGTAAAGAGAGATCGAGAAGCAAAATCTTTACAATTGTTCAACTCAGCCTCAATGACCAGCAGCTAACAGCCACTCAGCAGACAACTGCAATTCATCATCCTTCACCAGCACTACTGGTACTTCAAATTCAAACACTTCTGTATTTGATCACAGCCTACACTCGGGCTGCCAGGTGTCAAACATGCCTTCTGTTGGTCCTTATCATCACCCTATAGTGTAACACTGCTTATGGATGCTTGCCTACAAGAAATACCAGGATCTGTTTCTTCACAGTCTTTCCGTGTCAATATTCACTGTAGGAAGCTTACAAAAAACTTTCAGAGGTATGATTAACACTCCAAATACTGAGAAAAAAAACAAAAACGGACTGTCTGCCTGGACAGATCAACTCTGCACTTCAGTAAGTGGCACTGCCACGATCCTCTGTTCTCCACTGGCCCCCTGGCATTATGTTTCATGTGGACAAGATGCACTTAGTATCACCATCAATGGTGAGTTACAGTCAAGCAATTCAGTGTAACACTAAACCAGCTGGAATAATGGCATGAAATATTGGAATACAATATGTATTTGTTTATTTAGATAGTTCAAATCTCTGAAATCAGTAGATTAAAACAAAAAAAGACCAAACCATAAGACGTTTTAAAACTTGCATGTGTATTACCATCTCTGCATAGGAACCAGAAATCTCAGTTAAATCCTCTTTTCCTCCCAAAGACTTTGCAGTCCTCAAAAACATTAGGAAAGTGATGAACAGCTGTTAAGTAACATCCTCAAAACTACTTTGCTTCTGTTTTGTTCTCTGTGTAAGTTTTCAGACATTCTCCCACAAAAACACTAAGCAAATGGCACTGGGCTGTGGTTACAGTTGCTCTTATTGCACATACTCCCACTAAGGCCAACGGAGTCAATAGAAACCATTTCTAAAATTCCTGTTCATGGCACAAGGGGCTTAAATCTGTCCCCAGCACATACACGCCACCAAAAGTACAGCCTGAGACTTAAAGCACAGACTGGGGTTCTCCACGGGGACAATAAACCTGTTGAAAAGAGACTTTGGATTGGAAGCTCCAAGTGTCAAAGTGGAACAAACGTCAGAGGGATCAAAACAGCAACAAACACTAAAGTTTCCCTCTTCCAAAATGGCACAAGCCTATAGAGTGGCAGTACAAATGTTAAATGTGTTCCTATAATTTCCAGCTCATCCTGTAGCTCCTTAGTGTTACTAGAAACTGTGCCAGGCTACTATTTCCCCTTGCATATTCTCTCATTCTTTGTGTCGGTCAAAAGGCTTTAACTGCATCGCGAAAACTCCAAGTGATTTGGACATCAGTTTGTGCAGTGCACCAAGATTACATTGCAGTGCACTGCTTCAAAGAAAGCAAAGTATTGGAGCTTCTAAACGAAACAATCCAGTGAATTTTATTGTCTTTTGATTTTGAACTTGTACTGTCATCTGCTCCAGGGAAGTGATGCACCAACTTATACCACCAAGTATCTGATGCACCACTCACTGTAAAGGCTGCCTACCCAGTGTACTGCAAGGTTCCACAGCTGTAAGTGACTCTCAAAGACCAAAATAAATACTCAAATCCTATTGACACTCACTCTTTTTTTCCTCTTTTTTTTTTTTAAATAGAGTTGCAATTATGGTCTATTTTATATTTTTAAGTATGATTAAAATTCATGCCAGGCTATAATTTATATAATTGCATTCCTGTAAAACTTGAATTTATTTTTCATTTAGGAACAGACCGCAATAAAAGCCTTCTGCACTGGGAATCCAGTTTTCTGTGTTAATTTAAAGTTTAATTTTAGAGCGTTTTCTACAGCCACAGTACTTTAAGGGCAGAGGAAAGCTGTCATTGTATAAGAGGCTTATAATCAACTGTGGACTTCTACTCAAACTGAATTCCAATATTAATTCTTCATAAAGCACTGCAAGAAGAAAAGGGATGATTAAGTAGAATTTAAGCTGCATTGCTATTAAGGATTAAACCAAAAGGCATTTTAAAGCCATGTGTTGAAAACCATCTTGTCAGAAGTTATGGGCCATAATCCACAAATTTCCAAAATATGCCAGGCTGTACTCATTAGTCTTAAGAATTCGGAGAGTCTATTATTTCTGCCTCCTAATTTGACATCTCTATGCAAATAGAAATCTTGAGTACAAGTCACACCTGAAATTGCACGTTACGCAGTTGCCTACCTAAATGTTTAGAAAGCTTTAACATTTTAACCTGAACTTATCAAGAGGGAAAGAAAACTCAGGGACGTTACGACATGATTGCGGTCTCTAGAGAGCACCGATACACAAAATCAGACACGCCAAGTCAGGAAGAGTTTCACGTGGATTTTCTAACCTCTCCTGGGGCTTTCATGATTGAAGAGGATGCCGTTCACAGCAAAGAGGTTGTAGGCTTCTCTGAAGTTCACCACAATCCAGTAGGCATACAGTTTTGCTGCTCCTACAAGAATAATTTTGAAGTGTTACATACACCCGCTCTGCTCGTACACACCTCAGACACACACACACATCTCTCACACGCAGGGTGAAGCCCACATTTCAACAACGGAGTGCATTAGCCTTTGATTAGCTCCTTACTTGTGTCACAATTCATATGGAAAAAATATCCAGCCCAGTAAACAGGAAAACACTTTTTCTGTGCAACCTCTGAACTCACTGGGAAGCGTTAGGGCATTTTCTCACTTGTTTTTTTTTATGCACACTCAAGCACAGCTCTTTTTCTTTTACAATATAATTAACACGGCCAGAGCGTGTGAAATACACCACTGTGGTGACCTCTGCTAATAAAAAAAAAAAAAAAAATTACTTTGGAGGAATAAAAGCGAAAATCTGATGCCTTAACACTCAAATTGATTTGAAACTTTACCACCAAAGTCCTCCGCGCACATTGCTTTAATAAGTGTTTCAAATTTCAGGCGAGTTCATGAAGGAAGAAGTGAGCTCTTGGGATTTTTTTCATTTAGGCAACAAAAAATATGAAACCTTATCACTTCAGCAGTACCTCACAACCCTTTGTGAAGGAAGAGCCACCCATCCCGCCCCCACCTCCCCAAGAGCTCTCTCTGCTTCTGAGTGGAATGAACACGGTCTTGTGAAGTGAGATGCTAATTTCCAACCCCCGGGCCATGGCAGCAAATATTTCTTATATAGTAACTCATAAAAGTATGCCTCTCGACATGTCTAGTCACTTTAGCTCTATCGTCATTCTAATCTCACACCCAAATGACTTCAGGTCTGAGACACGAGAGGGGAGAACGGAGAGACAGACACTACACACACCCCCCATCAGCCATCCTCACCGTAAGGCGATCTTGGGTAAAAAGGGGTGGTCTCCTTCTGTGGGATTTCTTGCACTTTTCCAAAAAGTTCACTGGTGGAGGCTTGGTAGAACTTCACAGAGTTGATAAGGCCACAGGTCTTAATAGCATCTAGGAGCCGTAAAGTGCCAACCCCATCGACGTCAGCAGTATATTCTGCTAGGTCAAAAGAAATCTTGGAGCGAGAAAGAAATAAAACAACATCAATTTTACTAGGGGAACTAGAACATGCTGTAATCATGTACAACCAAAGTAATACATCACTTGTCACAGACCCTCTAGACACTTTTGTACAGAGTAGATGCTCAGTTTACAAAAGTACCCTCAAAGGATTTCTAAGAATAAACAAGTAGTTCCATAAATAGCAGAACGAAATGACTAGTGTTCCCTGATCTCTCTCTCAGGATTATTTTCCCATGTGAAGTAAGGGGTCAGCCTCCCCACAGCGGGAGCATTACCAGGCTCTCTCTCATCTCCACAGCTGCCAATTTTCACAATATTCACTTGGGCTGAATATTTTTGACACACTTGAATTTGGTTAAAATTGTCCAAAATATATTTAAAAAAAAAAAAGGTAGGTTAGATGGACAGCATGACTACATAAACATTTATTAAAAAATATCCACAAACTTTAAACACAGTCCAAAGTTTTGCAATTTAAACACAGATTAAAATGGTGAGAAGACTGGAAATATCTGCTATCAAATGAGACTCTCAACCCCATCTGACTAAGGTGTACCAGAGCTGTGGCTTTTGCACAGGAGTCAGGTGGGTGATGAAGTGGGAGAGCAGAGCAGAAGTATCCAAAAGAAACCACCCATCTCCTCCAGCTGACATATTCTTCCAAGTATGATAATAAAGTCATGCGTGCTGCTGGGCCAAGACTGCCCTTTCTCTCCCCACTCCAGCAGTTCTCAAGTATCTTTATGATGAGCTTGATCATGACACAGGGCACGAAACAACACTTGAGCCTAAGCTTTCAGAGTGTATAAAAAATTTTATTAATTATATTCCTTGCATTTGCAGAAACAAAATAAAAACTGGAAAAAGTAAGCTGAAGGTAAAAGATATGTTGTGACCACCTCAATCTGCACGAAGGAGAAAAAAGGCTCAGAAAGGAGCTCGCTACACTTGCATGGTGGATATGGGCTGGTTGTTCAGATGTGCCAGTGGAGCTCAAGTCTGAAGAGTTTTCTCCCACTGGTGCCCATCACAGAGACACACTGCAATCATGGAATGGTTTGGGTTGGAAGGGACCTTCAAGATCATCTAGTTCCAACGCTCCTCCATTGGCAGGGATACCTTCCACTACACCAGGTTGCTCAAAGCCTCATCCAACCTGGCCTTGAACACTTCCAGGGATGGGGCATCCCCAACTTCTCTGGGCAATCTGTTCTGGTGCCTCACTACTCTCAGAGCGAAGAATTTCTTTCTGACAATCTAATCGAAATCTCCCCTCTTTCAGTTTAAAGTCATTACCCATTGTCCTATCACTACATGCCCTTGTAAAAAGTCTCTCTCCAGTTTTCCTGTAGCCCTTTTAGGTACTGGAAGGCTGCTAGAAGGTCTTCCCAGGAGCCTTCTCTTCTCCAGGCTGAACAACCTCAACGCACTCAGCCTGTCTTCATAGGAGAGGTGCTCCAGCCCTTGGATCATCTTCACAGCCCTCCTCTGAACTCACTCTTAACAGGTCCCTGTCCTCCTTACATTGGGGGTCCCAGAGCTGGACTCATTACTATGGGTAGGGTCTCACGAGAGCAGAGTAGAAGGGCAGAATCACAATCCTCCTTCCTTCTAGAACCCAATATTTTGCTTCTGTATGTTCGTTTAAAAATGTTTCCTGTTTCTACTGCCAACATCAGAAAAAAGGACAGGGGAATGGACCTTTAGAGCAATTCTCCTGCATTGTCCATTGCCCCGACCGAAGGAAGAATTACTCTACCTCTGCTCCCTCTAGTTGTTGACTGACTTTCAGGAACGATTTCTGGAGTGACGGCAATGTAACAGTCTCTTTATATGATCTAGCCTAGAGGTTAGTGTGACACTACCCAAGTCAGAGAGTACAAATCTATGATCCCCCCTCTTCATTAGTCTTCAGTGACAGGACAACTACTAATGGAGCAGAGGGCAAATGACCATAGCTGGACAAGCTGAGCTATCGCAGTGGGAAACCTGTCACTTACCAGGTATTTTTTTCAAGCTCTCTGCAGATTCAGACAGCTCGCCCTGTATTCATTTCTCCTGCTAAGCTGCTTTCCCTGTTTGGTAATCACTAGAGGTTTAAGGCTTATTTACACAGCAGATGAAATAAAAATAATTAGATTAATTTGAATTTGCACTTATGGTTAATTTAATACAGGTATGAAAGAATCCAATCTGTGTTACTGTGCTCCAAAATAAAAATGTTCTCACATAGTTTTGATCTGAAGTGGCTAATGGTATGAACAAAACCAAACTTAAAAAAAAAAAAACAGAAAGGAAAAAAAAAAGAGAAACCTGATACTTTGGCTTGTTAACCTGGTATGACCCAGCTGAAATTGAGCACTGATCTACTGAGAAGTGCTGAGGATTTTTTGGTTTAATCCATTTGGCACAAAGATGACAGTCACTTAAGGTCTCTCAGCTTTGCCATCAGAGTAAGTCTCGGGAAAACATCTTAATGAATAAGTGACACAGCCAATAATGCACTAATGAACATAATTTAATATATTTACATATGGCTAGGACCTTCACATATTCACAATAACATCCCAGCTCTCTAAGCAAGGGTAAAACTCTTACTAACTATAGCAAAACCAGGAATTCACCTTTATTAAGGTATTGTTTCCAACAAATAACCTGCTAAAAGCACCACCCCTAAAGGCAAATCTTTGCTTACGTGTTCTACTATGAGAGTAAATGGCACGTGTAGCTGAGGTGGTCTTAAATCAGAGATCCCAGATGACAAAACCTCCTAAGCAGCGCAGCAACGAGCCCGCGGCAGCAGTACTGGGGACCAGTTTCACAAGAGATGCTTTTCCCTAGTGCCTTAGGAATGACCTCAGTCTTCACCTCGAAAAATCCCTCCCTGGGGTGTGAGGTAATTCTGCCTCCATGCTGGCAGGGCCTGTGTGTCCCCGGGCAGAAACCCCCAGCTTTGTGCCCCTTTGGTGGTTTTGTAACGCGGACTATTGTTCACCAGGGACGGGACTCGGACTGCTAAACTCATTTCTTTTTGGAGTGCAGGTCAGACTAGAATGGCATTCATGAAAGTAAAAAATAGTTTTATCCACCAAAACCTGCGACACCAAAAAAGACGGACTTTGTGCAGAGTAGGGGCAGTAAGGTGGCAAATCAGATAAATGCACACTGGATTTTAATTTGATTCTAATTCAAAGTTAACAACGTGAAGGAGTTTTATAAAATACAGGATTAAGTAGTTACAAATGAAGCAGAGCAGGAAAATGTGAGGAGTTATCCATTACCACGTTAGTTCCCTCTCCTTATGCCCTTTATTTCATGCAAGACCAATAAGAAGACAAGAGTAAAAAAAATAAAATGCAGGGCCCTCATTAAGAGCAGCGTGCAAGAGAGAAATGACTTGCATGCACAACACAAAAAAAGACCATGGCCTGAGTTACAGAAACCAAATATCAAAACAGATTCAACATATTTTACTCACAGAAATAATCTTTGCTGATGCACTGGGCTCAGTGGGACTGTCTGAGAGAGTAAAAACTTGATGGAAATGACTGTAAAGGCAGGTGTATGAAGGCTAAAAACAAGCCACCCTTTCTGAAAGATTACACATTTATCCAGTGGAAAAAAAGAGCTGAGAGCTCATCACCTACAGATGAGAGTTTTCAAACAGCCTAATTTATGGCAACTCTCTTAAGTGCTGCATTAGGAAGCTCGTCTCCCAGTACACCAGTAAACACAGTGGTGAGTCAGAGCAGAAACTCTAATAGAGATGCTCTTGATAACGCTTTGGAGAAACTATATGCACACACTAGTTTTTAAATTTAGCTGCCTAAGACAGATGCTCCATTCTAACCTCAAAAATCCAAAACTATCAGTTGCTGTCAACTGCGTAAAGCAAGCCACGCAACTAACAACTTTTTTTTGAAGAAAACACCCGGAGTGTTTGTAACGACTGGAGCAGGGAAAAGAAGCTTCTTTGTCTGGCAGTAACTTTAAACCTGAAAGCTTTCTCAAAGAGTATTGAAGGCATGGATCCAATACTTCTTTGCCCTCTTTGGACAGACTTTGGGACAAAAGGAAAGCGTGACATATCAACAAAACAGAAGTTGTCTACTTGGAACACGTTAGTCTGAGCGACCTTGGCACTCCCTTCCCAGGTACAACGGAGACACCGTGCTTTTGCAGTTGTCATCGTTGATCTCTGGAGATACTGTGAATGCATACGCTTAAGGTGTGTCTAAATATTTCATTTGATAGGTAGTGATAACAGTGTGTCATTAGAAGTGGATAGAACAGTAAGGATACACTCAAATCCTTGGTTAAAAGTACTTCAGCTCCAGGTTTTCAGGTCCTGGACACCTTGCAGAATTGGCTCAAAGAATACTAAGGAGAACCTGACTCCTTTCGTACATGGGACTTCTATATACTGAAGTATCTTCACTGATGGATTCATCCCTAATATAGTACATTTAAAATACATTCTTGGACAAGTAAAAATTCCCACAGCAACGCTAACCCACAGGATGATAAAATTTTCTTGAGAAAAACATCATCTCATGAGTGATAACATTCCCGGAATCACAGGACACAATATGAATACACTGAACCACGTTATGTCTCTTCTTTCACGCAGCTCCAAGAACTACGATGAGTTTTGTGAACAGGTTTCTACTTTTTGAACTTGAACTCTTGTTTTCCACCCCCATTTCTTTCTTTCTTTATAATCACCACATTCAATCTTTACAAGAGATTTGAATGTAATAGAACAATGTTTTAAATATGACGTTTCCCAACTGATCATTCAAAATCAAGCTTAGCAAGGTCTTTAACAAGATTTGAAAGCTTACCGAAAACTATCTAAATGAAAACATATGGGTCTTACTCTCTACAAGAACACATTCCTATCATGTCTATGAGTACTATATACAAGCCTGCAGACTTAATAATACTTGTTTCTAACTAATGAGTTGTCAACAGTGGTGATATTCTGAAAAT